AGCACTCTTAACTGCTGAACCATCTCCCCAGCCCCTATCTCTTTCTTCTTAACAGACACATAACATTGCATGGGAAAGACAGACCTGATTTAGTCAACTCTTTGCTGTATCTAATTTTACTAACACAAATGATCAGTAGTAAACATATCCATTCACATATTCCTTCAGAATGGTGTGGTTTGTTTTTTGTTTTTTTTGTTTTGTTTTGTTTTTTTCTGTTGGACAGAGTCCCAAAACAGGGATTCTCAAAGAAGTCCTTTATGGCTGCATACAGACTAATTCTCATGGAACCCTGGGCTGACCAGAGTACTGCCTGAGTGCGTTCTGCCAGGTAGCAGGGCAGGCCAGTGTAATGCCTGAACCTTTCATTCTCACCTTTACCTGTTATTAAAAAGGTGGGGTGTTAGGCATGGCAGGTTAGGGAATAAGGATGTTGAGTTCTCAAGACGGCTTCCTGCTGACCTGAGGGACATTGACTATCTTTGGAGGACCTGAGAAAGCTGGGGTGCTGCCATGTCCTAGGGTAGCTGGTTGCTCCACTGCAGTCCAGGCTGTATGGAACTCTCTGGTGCCTCTTAGACCTGGTAAGATGTTAGCAGAGTAGAGGATAAGGTTAAGTTTAGGAAAAATATTTTTTTATGTCCTGGTACTTGAGGGGAGGATTGTAAGAGGAGGAAAGGGTTCCCAAGGGGTCCCAAGATGAGGGAAAAGAGTGCTGGGACCAGGGAGAGATTGAATAATATTTATTTGGAGTGAATCTGACCTGTTTGGGTGGGTCCAATTCAACTCCCTGGAACTTACAATAATCCTTTGAGCTTGTGAAAACATAAGTATTAGACACATTAGCAGCATATTTATGTTAGAAATGACTTGGCTGAAAGCATTAACATTTTTTAAACTGACAGATATTTTTAGCATAATAAAAAGTACCTTAATCTTGACCTTGCAGTTATGATCATATAGTGGTATAGTTTGGTGTTTAGTACTCTGTTAGAGTTGGATTAGTAGCTTATCAGAACTTTATTAATATTAAGACTATGAACAGCATAGTGAAAGAGAAATCTGGAAATTACAGATTCTGGAGATCCTCCATGGAAAGCCTTACCCTCCCTGGGGATCAGAGTGGGGATTAGGTAGGGGACTTGGGGACCTGGTGGGGGGGCAGGGGAGGAGGGGAGGGAGAGGGAGCTGGGATTGACATGTGAAGCAAGCTTGTTTCTAACTTAAATTTAAAAAAGGAAAAAAAGGGGCTGGAGAGATGGCTCAGAGGTTAAGAGCATTGACTGCTCTTTCAGAGGTCCTGAGTTCATTTCCCAGCAACCACATGGTGGCTCACAACCATCTACAGTTCAATCCGGTGCCCTCTTCTGGTGTGTAGACAGAACACTATATGCAATAAATAAATAAATCTTAAAAAAAAGGAAAAAAAGAAAGAGAAATCTGGAACATATTTCATTCTTTTTAGTGTCTCAATTCACTTTATTTGTCATTACCTAAGCCTTTTTATCTTCAGACAATCATAACTTTAATTTATACACATCCCCATCTTATATAGATAAACCTTAAAATACCTGTTCCTGAAATCTGTTTTGTGACAGTTATAACCTTGGTTGTTGTTTTAAGCTACCAAAGCTACCAGCTGTCAAAAGTATCAGAGTTCTTGAGAAGGATAAAATTTTACCTGAGTTAATGATTAGAGAATGAGAGAGACTTTCTAGCTGGCTGCATGGACAGTCATCCCTAAGGTCCTCTACAGTTGTTGAGAGCAACGGCTTTAAGGACACCTGCCTTCTGCAGACAGCATGGGACCTGTGGAACAGAACTATAGGAAGACTTGCCTGCCATGACCCAAGCGACATGGAGAAAGTCGATTCCACTGTCCTCTTGTTCACAGTCTGAAGAGTCCTTTGTAGCAGTTGGGGTGAAAGGCAGGGTTGTTCAGTGGCTAGCGTTGCCACTTTTATGGGTGGAGTTTCTTCAGTGCCCACCAGTCTTTTTGGAGGAAATAGGGTAGGGTCAGCAGCTGGCTTGTGTCTCTGTTATAAAAAGCTTTTTAATAAAACATTTAAATGCCGAGTTCTCTAGATCTCTGAGCATTTGAGGGCTGTATGTCGAGTATATAATAGAAGCTTTACCTTTGTAAACAGCTTACAGGAAGGACTAGGTTGTATAAATATTTTGTTAATTTGAAATACACCTTTATAACTTTAAATGTTTGCCATCATTTAAAGATGCATAACAATACAGAAATATTTGAGACTTGGCACAGTTAAATTTAAGTTGCATAGAGTTAGCTTACATTTTTAAATACAAAGTTAAATTTAAATCACATGTACAGAGACAAGCAGATATATCAAACAGGACTGGATAAGAGTGAAAGGGATAACCAGAGTGTAATTTCTGATTTGCACATTGTAGCAAACAGACAGGAGATTTAAAGAGACAGAGTAGACTTAAACTGCCAGTGACACGAAAGCAGATCTGCTGCAGATAGAACAGGGGGCCCTGGAAAGACACAGTATTCCATAAACAAGCCATGCGCAACAGCGCCAGTGAAAGAAGAAATTAGAGACAAAAGTAAAAGTTAAAAAGTAAATGAAGTGTATCTGTCAACAGGGTTTGTCAGCAGAAACGGCCAGCAGAAACGGCCTAGACCGAGTGGGTGTGCCTACAGCTAGGCCACCATAAGCACATTCCCGTTGCTGGCAGAAGTTGTTTTCTCCACGAGTGAGGCAGAAAGATATGTGACCACCGTAGGTCTAAGAAACGAATGCACCAGTCTACGCATCCAAAAAAAGACCACCACAGGTCTGAGAAATGGATATACCAATCTACAGACAGTGCTAGTGTACAAAATTCGAGACCCCTCATGGGTCTGAGAAATGAATGCACAAAACCCAAAAACCTCATTTGTGGGGGGAAAAATAAAAAAAAAAAAAAACCTCTCAGAGCATCCTGAGCAGATGCTGCCCCAGACCAGCTCACTGTGAGCCGCTGGCATCCGAACCCAACCATGATGGAAAGTGGCAGGATGTGACTAAAATCTCTCAGAGAGTCCTGAGCAGACACTGCCCCAGGCAGGGCCACTGCAAGTCGCTAGCATCTTCGTGGAGAAGAAACTCGGTAGAAGGTCAGCAGAGAGGTAGAAGCTTAGAAAAATAGTAACTCCTTTCATTTACCTGTCCGCTGGCAGTAACCATAAAGGTCCCATAAAATGTAAGCTCCCAATTTGAAGTGTATTTCCCATGGGTGATTTCAAAGTTGGCTCAGTATGATCTCAGAACTCATCAGCCTGAGATCACGGCCAAGGGCGAAAAAGCTGAAAAGCAATAAGACCCAAATTCCGAAAGCCAGCGAAACCCCCAAAGGCTTAAAGCTTGAACACACTGCTCCATGAATGCGGTGATAGGCCTCATCCATGGGAAATGTACTGACAGGGAGAAAGGGTGTCTTACTGGGTGGCATCGAACTGGCAGATGAAAAAAGTAGGTTGTTGGGGCTTGGGAGAAGGATCCTTGTGTCTCAGGCGACTGCCAACAAGGTGACAGCAGGTGACGGGAGAGACCACAGAAAGAGCCTCCTGGGTTTCGTCGCTCATGCTGTTCTTTTGTTTAAGATTAAAATTAGAAGGCTCAAAGTGGTGGCGCACGCCTTTAATCCCAGCACTCGGGAGGCAGAGGCAGGCGGATCTCTGTGAGTTCGAGGCCAGTCTGGTCTACAAGAGCGAGTTCCAGGACAGTCTCCAAAGCCACAGAGAAACCCTGTCTCGAAAAACCAAAAAATAAAAAATAAAAAAATAAATAAAAAAAAATAGAAGGCTCGAGATGGAACACAAGATACGAGAGATACATTAACTATAGTTTACTACAGTGCGGGAGAGTGAGAGGGGGGAGAGACGAGCGAGCGAACGAGAGAGAGGGGGGGTGGGGGAGACGAGAGAGAGAGTGGGGGGGTAAGAGCAGAGCAAGAGGAGTAAGAGAGCATGAGTGGGTGGGGGTCTGTCTCTTAAAGGGGTCCTTTACACCTGCATACAGACTGGTTCTCATGGACCCTGGGCTGACCAGAGTGCTGCCTGAGTGCATTCTGCCAGGTAACAGGGGCAGGCCAGTGTAATGCCTGAACCTTTCAGACAGGACTCAGGGCCTGGCGCATGCGAGGCAAGGGTGCTACCACATAGCCACACTGGCAGTCCTTATTTAAGAGGCCCTCTTTTCCTTATTTAATGACACTAAACATGCTCACACTGTATGCCAGGCAATCTCAGTGTCTCTGGGGATTGAGCTTGTTTTCCTTTCGACACTTCGTTTCCTTTTGTGGTTTGTGGCTTTGGACCTTTTTTGAGGGACCCCTTGTTATCTGTGAACATTTTTTGAAACTTAGTTTGACTATACTTTGACTCGGGGGGGGGCTGTTTTCTCCTTCTTTCCCTCTTTCTTATATCTTCTTTTTCCTTGGGGGGGTGTGCACGTGTGTGTTTTTCTGGGTTCAAACCCAGACTTTGTACGTTCTAAGCAAGTGTGCTACCACTGAGCTATGCCCCAGTCTCTCAGGTTTTGTTTTCTTTGCCAAGTGTGTAATTGCACTATCTAATCAGTTTCGTTTGAATTAAGTTTCTCGTTGTTGTCGCTGTTACTGACCATACTGGGCTCCTGGCGTGTAAATATTTTTTAGAGAAGACTTTTCTCACTCAGAACTAAGGAACTGAACAGGCAAGTTTCACAGTGCTTGCCTTTGAGTGGCAGGGTTTTTTTTTTTTTTTCCTTCTAATTTACTATTTTATAGTCTCTGGTCTGACAGTTTGCCCTCTGAGAGCCCCAGGATTTGCCTCCCAGTACCCCTTCCCTGAGAAGTTATAGGTTACTTGAAGTTGATGACAGCCCAAAGAACCAACGGGGTCCATGCTCAACATCTCAGAGCGCTTTTAACCCAGCTAAATAGGCACTTCAAGAGTTTTACAAAAGAGGCTAGGGGGAGGTCCAGTCATAGAGTTCCTTGGGGGCGGGGAGTCACGAGCCTCTCCCGCTGGGAAATTATCGATACGTGGCAGGATTGTTTCCCGCCCACAAGTTAGCTACCCAAGGTAGTGCTGTGTAGTCAGTGCGAGCTGTCCTTTCCAACCAGGATGAGCCTGCCGGCAAACCAACTCAAAGAGTCCAGCCAGGAGTCTCTACCGGCAAACCAACTTAAGGAGCCCAGCCAGGAGTCCCGGATCATCTGCTCTGATCCGGACATCGTAAGTGCACCCCTCCGTTGTCCTGAACGCCCCAACCCACTCCGTACACGTTCCTAGTTATGTTCCATTTTCGTTTGCCCACCCTCCTGTAGTTCCCCCATCCCCACCCCCACCCCCAGGGAGCATTCTTTTGAGCCTGTCAGTAAACTCCTATATCTGTGCGTTCCTGCCTCCAGCTCCGCCAAGCTCTGTGCAGTCTCTCATTTGCTTTTATCTTCCTTGGCTCTCCCACTTAACTTTGTTTTAGTTTCTGTGTGTGTCCCCTCCGAAAACGTCTGGCTTGGTGTAGTCCGGGGGTGGGAGTTGGGGTGGGGGTGGGGAGGGTACTTCAGTTAGTCCCTTTGCTCTGCCACATGATAGGAGTAGCCTGGCTGGCCAGCCAGCTCCAGCACACTCTCTCTGCTCCAAAGAGCACCCTGTTTGCTTGCCTTCTCTCGTAGATTGGGTGAGAGGACTTTGGAAGCCCAAGCCAGGTTTGCTGTGTGCAAAGCTAGGAGGAGAAGAAGGGAGAAAGATTAACGGAAGTTAGACCCCAAGAGCGGTGGGCATGTTCTTGAAGCAGTCTACATGTCCAGACAGGAAAGTACATACTCCGTTTTAGTTCATAGATCACATGCTCAAAACCTTAAAGAGGCCACTTAGGCCCAGGATGAGGCTCCGTGGTGGAGACAGCTTGCTAGCACTCGGGAGGACCGGGACTCAATCCCTAGCACTGCCAACAAAACAGGAACAACAAATACTAATAATCATTCTTTAACTGAATTCCACACCATATACCTACAATCCTGCTTGGGCTTCTGGAGACTATCTTTAAAATAAAAATAAAAAAAAAAGAGCTGGGCATTGGTGGCACACGCCTTTAATCCCAGCACTTGGGAGGCAAAGGCAGGCGATCTCTATGAGTTCGAGGCCAGCCTGGTTTACAGAGTGAGTTCCAGGACAGCCTCCAAAACAATACAGAGAAACCCTGTCCTGAAAAACCAAACCAAACCAAACAAACAAACAAAAAAGATGGGCAACATGAATTCTCTTTGGACATGCTCATTCTGTGTTATAGCAGTTGCCTAAAAGAATATATCAGAAAACTCAATTTCTCCAGAGTTTCAGTTGAAATAAAAGAAAAGACAGGGTGTGATAAGTAGGTGACATGTCCCCCTTTAATGTAGAAGTTAGACCCTAACGGTGCCTGCCTCACTTAGCAGCTAACAACAGCGGGTCTGGGTACACTGTAAGAGAATAAATTCTCTTTCTCATCAGGTTAGAGTAAGGAGAGAGAGCAGACCCAGCAGCAGGGAAAGTGGCTCTTTCCAATAGGGTCATGAGTATGTCATCGTGGGCTGTTTTCAGAGCTACCTGTCAAGGTGTTCAAACTCAGGGTGTTCCATCTTCCCTGCTCAAGAAGGGCTTAAATGAGTTCGTGGGCGAAGATCATGCATGGAGCCAGCACTGAGTGTGATGCCAGGTAGGGCAAGATCTGCATCTATTAGAGTACCAAGCTGTGCTTCGGATCCGGGCCAAGGCATTCAGTCTAATAGGTATTCACTGAGTGTGTCTGGTGTGCTCTGCCCTGCTAGTCAGTGCTGGTGATGCTTATGGGCTAGGCCTAGTGTCCCCTTTCAAACCTCACAGCCAATGGAGGATGAACAAACAGGAGATCCTAAGGGAGCAACTACTGTAAGCAGAACTATATGTCATTCTGGGGTCATGAAACCACCATTCTGGAAGGTCCCTGGGGAACCATGGTGACCCATGCCTTTAATTGCAGCACTTGTGAGGCACATAGATCTCTGAGTTCAAGGCCAGCCTGGTCTACAAAGGAAGTTCCAGAACAGCCAGGACTATATAGAAATCCTGTCTCAAAAAACCAAAAGGAAAAGAGAGAGAAGGAGAGAGAAAGACAGAGACAGAGAGACAGAGAGAGAGAGAGACAGAGAAAGAGGAAGGAGGAAAGAGAGAAAGAAAGATGGATAGACTCAGTGATAGAAAGGTAAGACTGAAGTAGTCCTGGAGGCCTGTGACTCCACTCTGCCATGGATAGAAGGAGGGGTGCAGTAGGTGATTTTTGTTTTTTGTTTGCTTGAGGCCAAGCAGTAGGCCTGCTGCAAAGAGCCTTGGTAATCTCAAGGCATTCAAGTGTTCAGTGCAGGAGACTCAGGTTTGCTTCAGAGAAAAAGAACTCTGGTTTCAATATGTGGAATGGATCTGGGGGTAGGCCCTAGCAAGGGGTAAGCCATCATCGAACTTACCAAGCAGACAGAACTGCCAAGACTTGGTGGTGAATGGTGTGTGGGGGAGACTGAGATGGAGGAGAAGCCCTATTATCCTAGGCTTCTGGCTTAGCAAAAATGGGAAACAATAGCAGAGGTCAGTGTTGGGGCTTAGAGAGAGATCTTCGGGGACTAAAGAAATCCGAGTGTTGATGTCGCTAATTCACCCAGCTAAGAGGATCTCAGGAAATGTATGAGTGTTTGTGTCACTCATTCACCCAGCTGAGGGGATCTTGGGAAATGTATGAGTGCTGGGTTGAGTAGGGACCCTTGTGACCGAACTGGATGAGAGATGAGTCTGGTCCACTCCTGCATCTGCATGGCTATCACTGACTTGACACCCAGCAGGTGTCCCCCAGAGGCAAAGTCTCTCCCAGCCACTCTAGGCTTTCCCACCCACCCAGGAGCTGGCAAGGGGACTGGTAGTAAAGACGAAGAGGGGTCTTCCTCCCGAGAGTGAAAAAAATTCATCATTATAGGAGCACACTGGGCAGGGTAAGATAGGAAGCTAAGGTTTGCACAGAGGCTGGGAACTCTGTGGGGTGTGGGGATAAAAACATAAAAAAGGAACAGGATAAAGCAGCATGTGGACAGGGCTGATAAATAAAAGAACGGAGCACGGAGTGTTAGTGTAAGAGACTATCTGTTTTGTTTTGCTTGAAATGTGGTCTTATTGTATAGCCCTGATACAACAGCTCATGTTCCTGTGCTGAATGATGTACAAGCTAGCCAGGAAACTGGTTTCTGTAAATTAGCTTCAGAAATAACTTTTTTTTTGTTTTGTTTTGTTTTTTGATTTTATTTTGAACCCTCAAAAGATAGAGTTCATTGTGTAGCTCTGACTGTCCTGGAACTCACACTGTAGACCAGGCTAGCTGAGTGCCGGGATTAAAGGTGTGTGCCATCACTGCCTAGGCAGAAAGGATTTTTGAAGTGACTGATGGATTAGACTTTAAGAGTTGGAAGGATTTGAGTTCTCTGCCCATTTTGCTTCTATTTTCACAGACGCCAAAGCTAAAGGTAGAGAAAAATAGTGAACTTCCCCAGTCATAGAGCTAATATTGGCTGCAGTGAGGCAGGAGTTAGGGTGGGTGTTCCAGCCCACCCCAATGTGAGTTAGAATGACTGATGGGCATTTGAACCTAACTGCACTTCATGCTCTGCGAATCTCTTCTCTAGGTATCTTCATCTGTAACATCAGAGTATTGAGAGGACCTAATCGCTGAGCTCCAGGGGAATAGGGATGACAACATACTGATTTATTCAGGGGTTAGTCTGTGCTCCATGATAAACTGCCTGCTTCATACAGGTGACCTCGAGGTCAACCAAACAGCCTTGCCAAGGGGCCTTGAAGTTTAAGGGAGGCGGAAGGACATAGGTTCTGAGCTTATTTTCCTGAGTTGTATGTTCTGGGTCCTTCTTCTACCATCTCATCTCTAGACAGCTGAAATGACTTGTTGCCATGGCAACTCAGTGCTTTCCCCTCTGCGCCCCGCAGCTTGCTTGCCTTTGGCTCTCCTAATTCGTAAGAGGCTCACTTAAATCGTAAGAGGCAGTGAAATGGACAGATTGAGAATGAGGTCATGCCTGAATCAAACTGAAGGACTGGCCCCATCCCTGGTCCCCACAATGACTTGTGCTTGAATCTTCAGGTTGGAAATCCAGCCTTAACCTTTATCACTGAACAGAGTTATTATTATTTTTTTTTTTTGTAGAGCAGACAGCACATCCCCTAATAAGTTGTAGCGGTGTCTCCTGGACATGCCTTGTTGGTTCACTGTACTGTTTGTGTCTGCAGGTTGTGGAGCTAAATGTTGGGGGGCAGTTCTATACCACCACCATGGGCACCCTCATGAAACACCCAGACTCCAAATTTCCACAGATATTATCCCGATCAGCGAGACACTACAAAGATGCACAGGGCCGCTTCTTCATCGATCGTCCTGGTACCTACTTTGGGCCCATCTTGGACTACCTACGCACCGGGAAAGTGCCTACAGAGTACATCCCTGAGGTGTACCATGAGGCTAAGTTCTACCAAATCCATCTCTTGGTCAAGATTCTGGAGGACATGCCACAGATCTTTGGTGAACAAGTGGCTCGGATGCAGTTCCTGCTGGGAGTGCCAAACTACAGAGAGAACCTGGAGGTCCTGCTGCACCTGGCTCGGGCAGAGGCCGTGGCAATGCGCTTATCAAAGGTGGTGGTGTGTGTGGTGCACACAGAGGAAGAGGAGGCAAAGTGTGTGGAGCCGTTGCATATCTTGGAGGCCAAAAAGACACCTGTTGTCAAGTTTGGGCCCTGGAAGGCAGGCCCCGGGACGGAGGACTTTGTGTACTGCCTGGAGAAGGACATTAGAGCCCAGGGGTATAAGGTGTCCCCTCAGAGGTACCACCTGAATAGGGACCCCTACACATGCTTCTGGATATTCGTCTTCACTTGGTGGTGATCCCTAGGAGTGGGGACTGTTTGTTAGGGGCTATGGTGACTTGTAAAATCACTTGTCATCAAAATCCATGTTCTAAATCTGAGCCTGTAGTTCCAGCACTTAGGAGGCTGAGATAAGAATACTAACATGAGTTCGAGGCCAGCTTTGCATATAGGTTGAAACCCTATTGAAATGGCTCTGGAGAGATCAGGCTATCCTGACTCCACACCTGCTCCCCTCTGGAGCCACATCCTGCCAGAACAAAGTAGCATTTCTCCCATCTTCTGAGAAATGGAATTTGTCAAATGTTTAACAGATCAAAGGGTTCCTCCTTGTTTTCTGGGAAATAACCCTGATTTAGAAACTTCCATAGCCTGTGCTGTAATTGTGACTTTGTCTTTATAAACTCTGTGGTGCTCAACTTAGGGGCCAAGATATCTCTGTGGCCGGAGTCTAACATCAGTCCCAGATTAAATAAAGGACTCTTATTTAATCTCACAGCTGTGGTGGTCTGTAACTTCCTCCAGTGGTTTGTAACATTATCTTTACAACAGTAGGCCTTGCCTACTTTAATCCTAGCAAGGAGGCAGAGACTGGTGAATCTCTGAGTTCAAAGCCAACCTGGGCTACAGAGGGAGTTCCAGGATAGCCAGAGCTATACAGATACACCCTCTGTCAAAAACAAACATAAAAGCCAGTGGATAAACACTTGGTTTGCAAGCCCAGTGCCTTAAGTTGAATCTCCAGTTCCCACAATGAAAGAACAGAACCAACTTTTTATTTACTTACTCTTTTAAATCTCACTTTACATTCCAACCATAGTTTTTCCTTCCACCTCTCCTCCTGCTCCCCCGCATCCCCCCCCCCCCAGTCCACTTCTCCTCAAGGGTAAGGGCTCCATGAGGAGTCAACAAAGTCTGACACAATACGTTGGGGCAGAACCAAGCCCCTCTCCCATACATTACGGCTGAGTACGACATCCCACCATAGGGAATGGGCTCCAACAAGGTGGCTCATGTACCAGACTTGCATCGGGGTCCTACTGTCAGGAGCCCCTCAGATAGTCCGAGCTTCACAACTGTCTCCCACATATAGAGGGTGTAGTGTGGTTCCCTGGAGTCTCCACAGCTGTCAGTCTAGAGTTCATGAGTCTCTGTAGTTATCTCCATCATGATCTTGACCTCCCTTGCTCATATGTTCCCTCCTCCCTCTCTTTGACTGGATTCCTGGAGCTCGGCCTGATTCTTTAATTGTGGATCTCTGTGTCTGGTTCCATGATTACTGGATGAAGGCCTTCTCAGTCCTCTGTGCCCAGAACCAACTTTTAAGAATTATCCTCTGACCTCCACAGGTATGCCATGGCATACATGTATCCGTGTGTGTGTGTGTGTGTGTGTGTGTGTGTGTGTGTGTGTGTGTGTGTGGTGTGCGCACCTGCGTGCATGCAGCAAATGCATGTGAGGTTGCTGGTGGCATGCCTGCGCATGCTTATATGGAGTCCAGGGAAAATGTCAAGTGCTTCCCAGTATTTGCTGCTTTTCTGTTGCTGTGACAGAACATCATGGCAAAGTAACTTCTAAAAGAATTTCATTTGGCTTTTGGTTCCAGAAGCTTGAAGTCTATAATGACAGAGAGAGAACGGTAGTGGGCAGCAGGCATGACTGCAGAAAGCTGGAACCTCTCATCCAGAGCCATAAGCACAAAACAGAGTGAAGGGGGAATGGCAGGAAGATTGTAACTGTCAGAGGCTATCCCCAGTGACGCACTTCCTCCAGCAAGGCTACACTACCTCAACTGCCAACCGAAGATCAGATGTTCAAATGCCTCAGACTATGGGGTACAGTTCTCATCACCCATACTCTTACCACCTCTGATTTATTGCCTGGAGACAGGGTCTCCCACTAAACTGGAAACTTTGTTTAAGCTAGACTGGCTGGTCAGTGAGCTCCCAGGAGCCACCTGTCTCTGCCTCCCAGTGCTGGGTTACAGGTACACACAGACATGCCCAGTTTTGTTTTGTTTTGTTTTTTAAATGTCGGTGCTGAGACTTAAATTTGAGTCCTCATTCTTTTTTTTTATTTTTATTTTTAAATTTGAATTAGAAACAAGGTTGCTTCACATGTCAATCCCAGGTCCCTCTCCCTTTCCCTCCCCTCCTCCCACACCCTCCCTCCAATGCCCCCAACACCCCCTCATTTCCCCAGGGAGGGTGAGGTCCTACATGGGGGTGTTCATAGTCTGTCATTTCATCCAGGGCAGGATCTAGACCCTCCCCCAAGAGTCCAGGGTGAGAGTGCATCTCTCATTGTGGGATGGAAGCCCAAAGTCCATTTGTATACCAGGGATAAATACTGATCTACTGCCCAAGGCCCCATAGATTGCCTAGGCCTCCTCACTGGCACCCACATTCAGGGTGTCTTGATCAGTCCTATGCTGGATTCCCAGCCATCAGTCTGGGATTCAAGAGCTACCCCTTGTTCAGGTCAGCTGTTTCTGGGGGTTAAACCAGCCCAGCCTTAACCCCTTTGTTCAGCAGTCCTCCCTCTCTGTCACTGGGTTCCTTGAGCTCAGTGCTTAGCCGTGGGAGTCTGCCTCTGCTTCCATCAGCCACTGAATGAAGGTTCTGTTTCCCAGACTCTGGCCGTGGGATTGTAGGCTGGCACTCCCCAGATCTATGTCTAAAATCCATATATGAGAGAGTAATACAATGTTTGTCTTTTTGTGACTGGGTTACCTCACTCAGGATGGTTTCTTCTAGTGCCATCCATTTGCCTGCAAATTTCAGGATTCCATTGTTTTTTTTTCTGCTGAATAGTACTCCATTGTGTAAATGTACCACATTTTCTCTATCCACTCTTCAGTTGAGGGGCATCTAGGTTGCTTCCAAGTTCTGACTATTACAAATAATGCTGCTATGAATATAGTGGAACAGACATCCTTGTTGTATGAATGTGTGGATATATGCCTAAGAGTGGAGTTGCTGGGTCTTGTGATAGACTGATTCCCATTTTCTGAGGAATCTCCATACTGATTTCCAAAGTGGCTGTACGAGTTGGCACTCCCACCAGCAGTGGAGGAGTGTTTCCTTTTCTCCACATCCTCTCCAGCATAAACTGTCATTGGTGTTTTTTATTTTAGCCATTCTGACAGGAGTAAGATGGTATCTCAGAGTTGTTTTGATTAACATTTCCCTCATTCTTACATAGCATGCAACAACTTAGCATCCTAATCACTTATCTATCTTTCCAGACTCTGATTTCCCTGTTTCACTTAAATGGCAAGAGCCAGAATTACCTCTCTAGTTTAAACAATGAAAAAGCTGGACAAAATATGTGAAACAATGTATGGAAGTACAGACAGAACAGGAGAAGATAACTAAGATTTGTCCTTACAGTTACACAGCAAAACAAAACAAAACAAAAAATAACAACAACAACAAACCCCAAAACCATACTGAGCTGGCTACTATGTCCTTCACCTCCTTTTTGAGAGAGGCAGAAGGATCCTGAGTTCAGGGAAACATGAAAGTTCTTGTCTCACAAAAAATAAGTAAGAAATACTTTTAAGGCTGGGCGTTGGTGGCACATGCCTTTAATCCGAGCACTCAGGAGGCAGAGACAGGAAGATCTCTGTGAGTTTGAGACCAGTCTGATCTACAAGAGCTAGTTCCAGGACACCTCCAAGGCCACAAGAAACCCTTTCTCAAAAAACCAAATAAATAAAAAGAAATAAATACTTTTAAAACACACTAAATGGAGCTGGGCGGTGGTGGCACATGCTTTTAATCCCAGCACTTGGGAGACAGAGGCAGGTGGATCTCTGTGAGTTCCAGGACAGCTAGGACTACACAGAGAAACCCTACCTCAAAAACAAAAGAAAACCTAAATGGGAGGGGGCTGGAGAGATGGCTCAGAGGTTAAGAGCACAGACTGCTCTTCCAGAGGTCCTGAGTTCAATTCCCAGCAACCACATGGTGGCTCACAACCATCCATAGTGAGATCTGGCGCCCTCTTATGGCATACAGACATAAATGGAGGCAGAATGTTATATTCATAATAAATAAATAAATAAAAACCTAAAAACAGCCACTGTGACATTTCAACTCCTTTGTCCCAAAAGAGTGGACTTGAAGACACAGCAACAAAGAATATCCAAAATGAATTCCAAGGAGGAAAAACTATTGAAAAAATAAAACCCAGAGCTGAAGAGACAGCTGAGCAGTTAGGAGCAGTTTGTGTGTTTCCAGTGCACCCAGGTTCAGTTCCTAGCACACACATTGGTGCTCACACCTGCCTGTGGCTTCAGTCACAAGGGATCTGACACCCTGTTCTGGCTTCCACAGGCTCTAAATACATGGGGTGCACACACACACACACACACACACCATCAAAAACAAACAAACAATAACAAAAACCCCAAAGCATCATTGAGGAATGGAACAAATTCTAATACCAAATATTCCTGTATTTGGAGTTCTTGATGAAGTGAGGTGCTATTGGTACAGTATCTAACTTACTGTGGGTAGTGAGAGAAAAGGGATCATGGTGGAAACTACAAGTGACATAGTTACAGTCAGAACAGACATTAGCGTTAAAACAACAAGGCCAGGAATGAGACACAGAGAAGCTTACAGCTGGATGTGTAATAGCTAAGTGAACCTTGGACACCCAGGCTCTGAGAAGCAAAGCCAGTGTTGTCTGGCAGGTGGTCTAGCTTCCATGAGACATTCCTATATCCCAAAGTCTTGGAAAACATACTAGGCAACACTGCCGTTTTACATAGCTTTGCTTCTTCGTCAGATAATTCTAACAGCTCATGACAAGGCCTCTGCCTATTTCAGAAAAGCGACACTAGACCAGTTAGTTGTTCTCAGCTTTCCTAATACTGTGACCCTTCAATGCAGTGCCTTGTGTTGTGGTGGCCCTTGACCATAACATCATCATCATCATCATCATCATTATTATTATTTTAGTTTTTCAAGATGTTTTCTGTGTATTGGTTTGGAGGTTGTCCTGGAACTTGCTCTGTAGATCAGGCTGGCCTCGAACTCACAGAGATCCACCTGCCTCTGCCTCCTGAGTGCTAGGATTAAACGTGTGAGCCACCATCACCTGCCATAACATTAGTTTTGTTACTTCCTTCATACTTATAATTTTGCTACTGTTATGAGTTATAATGTAAATCTTTTTTTTTTTGGTTTTATGAGACAGGGTTTCTCTGTATTGTTTTGGAGGCTGTCGATCCAGCCTGGCCTCGAACTCACAGAGATCCGCCTGCCTCTGTCTCCCGAGTGCTGGGATTAAAGGCATGCGCCACCACCGCCCGTAAATCTTTTTGAAGATAGAGATTTGCTGAACAGGTTGAGCACTACTCCACTAGACCATCCTATAGACAAGGATTAACTAAGATAACTAAGAAAAACTACAGCTACTTTCTGGTAGCTGTGAGAAAATGAATTTAGTATAAAAGTAGCAGCATTCGAGATAGCTGCAAGGTTT